AGTTTGTTGACAGTGTGTGTGATGTTCCAAATGATGCTGAGCTAGAGTTGAGATATCTGGAGGAGATTGTGCCAATGTTTAAGATGCTTAAGTCAGTTGAGCTGCAGAAGGGTTACTGGACTGAGAGTGAAGTGGCCAGGTTTTGCCGCATCTTTGCTGACCGTGTGGATGCCTTCTCTCTCAGTGACCTACCCATCAATGAAATATCATGTCTGAGCTCTGTCACACACCTACGCTTGACATTCATGCGGCAGTACTCCTTTGAGCAGGTCCACTTCATCTTGGATCACTGTCCCAACCTGCAAACCCTTAGCATCCACCCTGTGTTCCAGGAGCACCCACATGTGGGCTGGGAGGGTGCTATGCCTCTGCATCGCTTTGGCCAGATGATGGATGAAGATAGGCAGATCCTGGAGAATCTCCTCATCGATGAGCTTGTTGAGGAGATGGAGGATCTGCAGGTGTTCTTGGGAGAGGGAGGGGATGAACAAGCAGGAGGGAATGTGCTCAGGGCACCTAATTTCCCTGGGGCAATGGGTGAGGGAGCCCAGCTTCCCCCTGCTGGACCCAGACCCCCAGCACCCCTACATGAGCGGTTGTCCAAGTCTAAGTACACAGTGCATCAGAAGTTGGTGACGCTAAGGATAGCCTCCCTGTTTGAAGCCACCAAAGAGCCCTCTGAGGTGAGGTTGTTGTCTTAAGTAAACAAACATGCACACAAAAAGAGGATGTCAGTATTCATAATGAATCCGGAAGTTGTTACTGGTTTAGTATTCCTAAGGGAAGAGACAGTTCATAAAGATAGGAGTCTCAATGGATCAGTAGTTGCTCCTAAGATGCTACTCCATCTTGAGGTAGGTCACTCAAAAGAAAAAAAGGGCTGGTCCAGCAACTGCTGCACTGATATTGTCAGAAAAGGAGAAACATTGGTTTACTACAATGCTGCTGCATAGATTTCATTTTACTCATTTAAAGAAGATAAATTTGGAAAATGAAGTTTGATGAAGGAAGTTACAAAGGAAACTAGATACAGTTTATTTCAGTAGATGACTGTTTTGTTCATCATAGTGTGAATATAATATCTTATATGTGTTTGTGTATATTTTAGAGAGTGTTAGTATTCATTAAGCCTCTCCTATTACAGCCAAAGTTCCACTACCTTTATTTAGCTGAGCTACCCCTAGGCTTCCAGTACCTGATGTGTTAATACCCCCAGGGTTGCCCTTATGCAGACTGACTTGAGATGATAATCAGTGGTATGAAGCACAATGGCTTATTCAATCTCCTGTCTCTTAACCTATCAGTGCTACAAGAAAAAAGACAAATCCCATGCAGTTATGGATAAAAGCATGAGGGAATAGAAAAGGCTGTAGTATTTACAATGGTTCATGTCTGTTTGCTAATTCATGTCACACTTATCTTTAGTCTCAAAATGAGTGTGTAGGTATTTAATAATCATGTTTTATCTCTATTTCCATATAAATGAAAATTTTATAAAATAGGAAATACAGTTATGCAATATAAACAATAAGTAATAACCAAGATTCTTAGTCCAGAATTAAATATAAGTAGTAAAACCATTACTAATACCTTTGTTTTTATAAAGAAGTGGTGATTTAGTGAGAAGTGTGAAGGTAAATGGAAATCAACCAAGGTTTCTTTTTTCAATGATGTGATAGTATAATGACAGAAAGGCCTTTTCAGAGTTTCCGATTTTTATTGTGGTTTAGGAAAAATTACCTTACAACTGCTCTCCCTTTGCAACAGGCCTTCCTGTCAAGCCTTCTAGAACGGCTACCCAATCTCCGTAACCTGTGCTTGGGCATGTGGATGGGAGCTCTGAGTCACCGACGCAACCACCTAACCTGCACCGGAAATGCACTTGTCAACGTTGTCACCAGTTCACAGAATAGCAAGCCTTTATTAGCTAATTTGGAACAGGTGAGATGTGATACCTCAATCAAGTATAGTATTCCTCTCACATTTATATATGTATAGCATTTATTTATAGGCATCTTAGTTGAGTTGCTGTTAACCTTTAATGTATGGATTTATATATTATTAGAGGACTTATATTATCTTGTAAACAAAATTTCTAAAACTTGATAATGTTTTAACTCAGTTTCCTTATTTATTATACTTAAGTTTAGATAACTCTTCTCATCATCATATAATCATTATTATTTCTCCATCTTCTGTGGTCAAGTTCCAGTAGGCCTGCTTACTACTTTGTGAGCATATGGTTGGCACCCTGTGTTGCAAACTAGATATTTACATGGTATAAGTGATTAACATATACATTTTAAAGGGAATGGTTGACACCTTGCATGATTCTCATATAACCTTTTCTTATTTCCCAGCTTTGACCCTTTATTTTGCAGTTATTTTTTAAACATACGCAAGCATATATCCTGCATGAATAATAGGTCAAACCATAAATGTGAAGCAAAGGTATCAGGCCAGAACAATGCAAAAATACCTAAGTATTTGAAACAGCAAAGTTAATCATTGGCCCCACTAGCTTGGCAGACTCTCTAACCAGACTCAGGACTAGGAGTATCATCCTTTTGGCCAGGGATAAGTGTGATGTGTGGGATATACAGGAGCCAGAATATTCTTTGCCCAGACCTAGAAATTTTTTCATGGGCATTGATAATCTGTATTCTATGACTATCTTCGAAACTTGTTAAATATTACTACACAATTATATTATTAACCCATTAACCCTGGGTAAACAAATTTGGCAAAGTGAATATTAATGCAGTGTCTTTGGCATGAATCAACAGTTTCCCCTGACTCATTTGGTTGTTTGCGGGCAATATAGGCACCTAAAAGCTTATATTTTGATGTGATTTGAAATAGCTGAAAAAAGTGAAGGTTTACCTTCACTTTAGGTGCTATTGCCCAAAAATTCAACCATAGATATGATGCCATTACTATTAGAGAAAAACAAGCTCTATTTGATGAGCTGACAGTTTGGGAATTGTTGTTATGCGATGCCAACTGCTACAGCCATAGCATATCATACGGTGGCATTGGGTTAACACTGATTCTGGGCTTCTAAAAATACATGCCATGCCCACTTTACACATACATGTCTTTATACATATATGGCTCCATATATCCTTTATTACTAGGGAGTCAATTTTAAATGATCTTATTATTTTCATTATTGTAATTATTATTATTATTGTTAATAACATCATAATAATACTGTAATTATACTGTCAATGATAATAAGGATATCGATATTAATGGTTGATATTGTCTGATTTTTTTGTCTGAGTTTTTGAGAATTTTATCTTTCTTTTTTTTTTTTAATGCTATTGACTCTGATGCTATTATTATTATTATGGACATTATGATTATTAGGGTGTTATTAAACAGGTGAGAGTGGTCACACTAGTACTCTCTTAATCTCTCTCTCTCTCTGAATCTCTCTCTCTCTCTCTGAATCTCTCTTTCTCTCTCTGATGCTCTCTTATACTCATCTCTGAAACTACTCTCTCTCC